GTCATCTGAAATGCCTTTTGCTTCCAACTCTCCGCCTCTCTAGGCTGACCTACCAGGGCTGCTTTGGATGTGTTTGCCCTGAACCCCAGCTGAGTAGCAGAGGATAGTTTCCCCATGCATACTGGTGCTGAGGTGACACTACCGCAACGTGCTGGGGTCTCTGCTCCAGAGAGCCCAAGAGACTGAGGGGCCTTATGATAATATGGTGTCACAGATGACCTGAGCTGAGGTGGTACGGACGGCTGTAGACCGAGGCAATGCAGGCAACCATGTGTGACAGGATCCTGGCCACAAGCTAAGGCCCCACAGCGAGTCAGTGTTGGAGGTAGGGGCCAGACTTGACCTCCCCAGAATCTTGAGTCTTCCAGGGCTGCCCCTCTCCACCCTCCAAGCTTAGTCTTCTGGTCTGGACCTGCTCAAGGGAACAATTTGCTGGGCTGTGTTCAAAGGAGCCATGGCCCCTATATACCTTTGTCACTACAGACATGTCTTAGTTACATGTTGATGAAAAGACACCTGACTAAAGCAGTAGAAGGTAATGAGGACAGCAGAGGAGAGGGGATCTCAGCTGCTTCCTCTGTCAGACAGCGTGTGGCCACGTCTGTGGGGCATTTTCTGGATTGCTTATTATATAGGAGGGCCTGGACTGTATAAGAAAATAGCTGAGTGGCTGGAGAGATGGCTCAGGGGTTAAGAGCACTGACTGCTCTTGCAGAGGACCCGGGTTCAATTCCCAGTACCCACATGGCAGCTAACAACCACCTGTAACTCCAGTTCCAGGGGATCCAGTGCCCTGCCCTCTCTGACCTCCGCAGGATGGGTGCACCTACCTACATGCAAACAATATGTTCATACACATAAAATAATAAAATATGGAAAACAACAACAGTGGGGTAAACCAGGGAACCAAGCCATTTAGCAGCATTCCTCCTCAATCTCTGCTTCAATTCCTGCCTTGAGTTCCTCCCTCACCTCCCACAAAAATGTCTGTGCCTTGGACGTGTAAGATGAAGTAAACCCTTTCCTCCACAAGTTGCTTTTGGTCAGTGTTTGATCACAGACACAGAAAGTGAACTAGAACAGCGGTTCACGCCTGTATTACCAGCACTTGTGGGGGGTGAGGCAGGAGAGTCTCAGGGTTTGAGGCCAGCCTAATATGATATGCGAATTCCAGGACAGCCCGCATGATAGAATAAGACCATGTCTCAAAAAACAAAACAAAAAAAACCCTCTCATCTGACAGCTGAGGAAACGATGTCACAGACAGCCAAGAAACTTGCCAGGAAGGCCTGAGAGGCAGAGCTGGGGTGTGAGGCATCTAGACCAGCTCACAGCACAGCCATGAGCCCAGCTGCTGCTCTGCCCAAACTTTGTGCTAAATCCTAGAACTACTGAAGGGATGGGCCAGGTAGATTCTGGGCTTGAAAAGGGTTAGGAGGCAGTGCTTTTCAGATCGAATCATATACCATTCTCTATTTAACCACCGTGTTCACTGCCCACAACAGAGAAGTTTATGGGCAGGTAGGAAGCACAATGCTTGAGATGAGATTGTGAATGGACACCAGGGTTCAAATCTGGGCTTTTCCAGATTTATTTTTTTATTACTTTTATTTTAGGTGTATGTGTGGTATTGCCTGCATGTAGGTAAGTGCACCCATGTCATGCAATGCCCGCGGAGGTCAGAAGAGGCTGCTGGATCCCCTGGGACTGGAGTTATGGACAGTTGTAACTGCCCTGTGAGTTGTAGCTGCCATGTGAGTGCTGGGATTCGAACCCGGGTCTTCTGCAAGAACAGCCAGTGTTCTTAGGCGCTGAGCCATCTCTCCAGCCCCTTTTCCAGATTTCTATCAAATTCCCCAGCCTTGTTTTCTCATCTCTAAAATAGGGTTAACGTGGATGGACGGACTTCTTCCTACCATGATTAGGGGAGAAATGAGTTAATGAAGGAGAACATCAAGGTCAAGGAAGAGGTTAAGAGCGGTCAGGTCGAGGTAGACATAATCACCGCCGACCAGCCTTCCTGGAAATTGTTAAAATCTATAGACTTTGTAAGAAACTGATATACTCTTTGTAGCCTACTGACTAACTTTAAATGTTAACCTGTAGAATGTGCTTTGTTCTCTGTGAAACTAATTCTCTCATGTATCCTGGCACAAACACCAACCTTGTGACTGTAGTACTGTAGTTTTGAGAGTATAGAAAAGCACTGCTAAAGAATTAAACTCAGTCCTCCCCACCTGGGGTTGAATCTTTGCCTTCACTCATTCTGCCCGTCCACCAGAAGACCCAAGTTTCTACAAGTTAACGCAACCTAGTTATAATATAGTGGATTCTTCCCCTGAAAACCTGATCACATTCATGACCTGTCTGTGGGACTTTGAGGGATTCAACACTAAAAAGTTACCTTTAGGTCACAAACCAAACAGATTTTTTTTCTCTTTTTCTTTTTTCTTTTTTGACAGGGTCTCACTATATAGCCTTGGCTGGACTGAAACCTGCTATGTAGACCAGGTTAGCCTGGAACTTACAGAGATTCACCTGCCTCTGCCTCCCAAGTGGTAGGATTAAGGGTGTGCGCCGCTAGGCCAAACTAACAGATCTGTGAAAACAAAGCTGTGAGCATACCTCAGGAAATCCTATTTCCCCCTCATACCCATCAATGCCGAATTCTTCAGTCTATGATCGAACAGAAAAAGAACCAAATGATTGGGGAGAAAGAAAAGGACAATGAGTCAGAGACAGAGGGATGAGCAGAGGCTTTGGAAGAGGAACAGGGGCTGTCTAGGACGGTCCTCTACATTCGCCATCTCCCTGAGCTCCCCTGCATCTGCTTGGCTAAAATCATCAGAGCTGGGCTTGCTGACTGCTGACACAGGATACTCAGCCATCCTGGGATGAGCTATTCAACACGGCCCTAACTGCAGTCGCCTGGGAGAGGGACATAGGCTGGGAAAGACTAGGGAGGGGCACCTACACTCTTTCCTGAGTAAACCCTCATCCATGGCTCTGTAAGCAAGCCCAATAAACTCTCTGCTTTCCTGGAGTACATTTTGGTGGACTTGTACCTTGGTTTGCCATTGGGATCAAGGGAGGACAGAGCAGTTTGTTTACATTGCTCCCACAACAGAAGGAATTTTACCAACAGAATGGAACAAAGGAGTTATGCACAATAGACCTAAAGAAAGTATAAGGGCAGAGGTGTGGGATGGCTAAGAGGATGCAGCTTTCTGGATGAGAATGAGCTTACTTGGCCTCTGGTGTTGAAGGGGCGCCACACAAAGAATGAATACTTAACTGGACCTGAGGTTCCAGTGTACATCCCAGGTGACACTGAGAGGAAACACCAGGGAACCTGTGCAGTCTGGAAAACCTGGGCCTGTGTCACCCTACTGTGGGTTCAGGATTAAATGAGGCCTCTCCCCAGACCTCTCTCACCACTGTTCCCTGAAACCACACCACAAAAAAAATGTAATAAGAAATTTTAAAAGAACTTAAAAATGCATACAAATGCATTATTTTTATATTCTATCTTCTCTGTGTAGTGATGTGTGTACACGTTCATGTGTGTGCACGTGTGCACATGTGTCTTCTGTATTCACTCTACATTCTATTTTTTGAGACAGGGTCTCACTGAGCTGGGGGAGCTCAGCAATTTCACTAGATTGGCTGACAGCAAGCTTTGAAGACTACTGTCCACCATGCACTGGGAGCCCAGGCTCAAACCAGGTTGCTTGACTTTTTACCTGGGTGCTGGGGAGTCCAAACTGAAGTCCTTGCATGGCCAGCACTTTACAGACTGTGCCATAGCTGCGGCCCCCAAACGTTGCTTTTTTCTTTAAAGCTCATATGCTATATTTGTGCAATAGCTATGACTTCTTGACTCCTGGTACATACAATTAGAAGTCTGTATGAAAATATGAACAGCTGGTATGGTAGTTTGAATGAGAAATGCCCCACTCCCAGGCTCAGGTATTTGAACACTTGGTCTCCAACAGGTGGAAATGTTCGCAGAGGTTTAGGAGCACGCCACTGAGGGTGGGATTTAAGAGTTCCTGGTTGTGGTCCTACCTCATTTCCTTCCAGTTGGTTCTCTCTGCTACCCGAGTATGGACTGAGATGTGATCTCCCCACTTCCTGCTCCCGGTGCTGTTGCCAGGCCTCCCGGGCTACTACGGACTTCCCCTCAGAAGAGTAAGCTAAAATAAACTCTTAGGTCACCTTCGGTCATGAAATCTTATCACAACAGCAAAGTAACTACTACAGCTGGTAAGGTGGCTAAGCAGGTTAAAGCGCTTGGAACACAAGCCTTATGACCTCAGTTCGATCCCCAGAACCCACTTAAAGAAGCCAGACTCAGTAGTGCACATAGGCAATCCCAGCAGGAGACAGGAGAACCACCTGGAAGCTGGAAAAGCCAGCCTGGAGCTCGCCTCGCAGCCGTTCAGACAAAAGGAACTCCGTCCACAAGGGAGGAGAGAAGAGACTCCCAAGACACCAGTCCTGGGACCTCCGAGCACGTGCCATGCTTTAGTAACTTTGATTAGTTTACTAATGCTTTAGTAACTTTGATAAAAAATATTGTAAAGTCCTGACTGAATGGCTGGTTCTGATGCCTATAGAGAAGTTCACCACACAAGGTACAGGTCAGAAGGAAAGGCTGACTAGAGCTCAGCTAAGCACGAAGCAGTGAAGGACACAGAATTTCACTTATGCATTTACCCAAAAAGATACAAGATACATCCATAAAGTAAAGCAATAAAAATTATTGATGACACGTCAAGATGGATTTTTTCTTTTCTTTTTTTTTTTTTTCTTTTTGAGACAGGGTCTCCCTGTAACACCAGCTGGCCTGGAACTCACTATGTAGACCAGGCTGGCCTTGAACTCACAGAGATCTGCCTGCCTCTGCCTCCCCAGTGCTGAGATTAAAGGCGTGGGCCACCACGCCCAACTCATCTTTCTTCTTTTTTTAAGGCAGGGTTTCACTGTGCAACCCTGGCTGGCCTGGAACTTGCTGTGTGGACCAGGCTGGCTGAAACCCTCAGAAATCTACCTGTGTCTGCCTCCCAAGTGCTGGAATTAGAGATGTACGCAATCACACCCTGAGAGAATAAACTTGACAAACATAAAATATAAATTACCTTCTTTAATAAAAATAACTACAAGGCCAGTGAGAGAGCTCAGCAGGTAAAGGTGATTGCTGCCAAGCAAGATGACCAGAATTCAATTCCCAGAACCCACCTGGTGTAAGAAGAAAATAGACTCTCACGAGATGTCCTCTGGTCCTCCCATGGACCTGTAGCACATGCATACCACATACATACACACAAATAAATAAATGTCATTTAAAAATAACCATAAACTACCTGTTCCTATTATGCAGTGAATTCTATAGGAAACCCTACTAAACGGAGGGAATACACATATGTATCCATCCATACATGCACTGACATATATATACACATATAAATATATATGCTGATCAAATACATGCAGTTGTGTCTATGTACACAGAAATATAAATTCATTTACGATGCACACATATCATACACACAAGTACATTCATAACATTGTACTCTTCACATGCCTGGCACTTAGGCCTATTGGCTTCCCACAATAAACAGTTATCACTGACATAATTTCCCATAAAATTCCCTGTAGTCTGCTAAAACTTTGTCTTATGCCAGGTGTGGTGGCGCATACCTTTAACCCCAGCACTTGGGAGGCAGAGACAGGTGGGTCTTTGTGAGATCAAGGCCACTCTGGTCTACTAGTGATTTCCAGGCCAGATGGGGCTACAGGGAGATCCTGTCTAAAAGAAAAAAAAAATTAAATCACTATCTACAGAAACATTTTTCTGATTCAGTCAGCGATAATCTGAAATAAAATCCATACATTTTAATAAACATAAATATGAATACATGTGCCTATCGTAGGTTATTTTGTGAGTAATTTTCCTCGTGTGTTATGTTTGCTGTGTCTAAACAAGCAATGTAAAGCTAGATTTTTTTTTCTGTTCAAAGAATAGGAGATGTACAATTTAATCTCTTATAAAATGATTTCCAAGTAAATAAAGGTATACAACTCATCTATGAATACACGGGTAACTGAGGAACTCATTTCTCAATAAAATCTGTTACATAACAACTGCAACTATTAAAACCGTCTCTTGAGCCGGGCGTGGTGGCACACACCTTTTAGTCCCAGCACTCGGGAGGCAGAGGCAGGCAGATCTCTGTGAGTTCGAGGCCAGCCTGGTCTACATAGTGGGTTCCAGGCCAGCTAGGGCTACTGGGAGACTCAGTTTCAAAAAGACAAAAACAAACAAACAAACAAAAAAAAAACTGTCTCTTGAATGAATTGTGTAGTATCAGTTGAATTCTGAGCTGTTCTTGAACACCTGCAGTTATTCATAACACACATACAGCTCTCCATCGGTGAGCCGCTGATGCGACTTCAGCTAGGTAAGATCTAGGTTAGAGTGATTTCTCAAACATGGCACTCCAACGTTTTCTCACTAATGTGAGTTGACATAATGTCATCTCTAATCCATATTTGTAACAGAAAATGGTTTCACTCTGAGTCATCTGGTGTCTTATGAAAAGTTAACCTGTCCCTGAAGATTTTCTCACATTCAGTACACACATAGGGTTTCTCTCAAGTAACTTTGTTTATAATCTTGAAGTTGAATGTAGAGCCAAGACTTTCCACAGCTGCTGCATCTGAAAGGGTTCCTCACTATGTGACGTCCACAAAAGTGGCACATTTCACGAAACAATTTTTGGGTCTTGACATTCGTAAGGTTTCTCCTCAATGTGAGTCTGTTCATGAGATGTCAACTCTGATTTCTGTGAGAAGGCCTTCCCACACTTGTCACAGACAAAAGGTGTCTCTTTCTTGTGAATCAACTTATGTTTAGAGAAAACTGACCTGCTTCTGAAGGCTTTCCCACAGTGAGTGCACACATAGGGCCTCTCTCCTGTGTGAATTCGTTCATGCTCTTGGAGTTGGACCTTAGTACAAAAGGCTTTCCAACAGTAGCTGCATTTGTAAGGTCTCTCCCCTGTGTGAATCAGAAGATGCACCTTCAGTTCAGGCGGTGAGCAAAATGATTTCCCACAGAAACTGCATTTGTAAGGCTTCTCCGCCATGTGGATTTTTTCATGCCTGCTCAGTGTTGACAACTGTTTGAAGGCCTTCCTGCACACCGAACACACATAAGGCCTCTCCCCTGTGTGAATTCGAGAATGTGTCTTCAGCTGAGATGATTTACTAAATGATTTCCCACAGTCAGGGCATTTGCAAGGCTTCTCTCCCGTGTGGGTTTGATAATGTGACTTCAGTTGGGACGGGTAATTAAACAACTTGCCACAGTCAGGGCATTTGTAAGGAGGCTTGTCACCAATGTGGGGCTGCAGACGGGGTGTCAATGCTGACTCTTGCGAGCCACATTTCTGAGAGACGAAAGGTCTCTCTTTAGTATGAATTAGCTGATGTTTGCGAAAAGATGACCTGCTACTGAAGGCCTTCCCACATTCAGTGCACACAAAGGGTTTCTCGCCCGTGTGAATGCGCTCATGCTCCTGGACTTGCTCCTTAGTAGAAAAGGCTTTTCCACAGTGGCTACATTTGAAAGGCCTCTCCCCAGTGTGAACTCGATAATGTGCCTTCAGTTGGGACATTTTACTGAACAATTTCCAACAGTCTCGGCATTTGTAAGGCTTCTCCCCCGTGTGATTTAGATAATGCACCTTCAGTTCACATGGAAAATTAAACGACTTTCCACACTCTCGGCATTTGTAAGGCTTCTCCCCCGTGTGATTTAGATAATGCACCTTCAGTTCACATGGAAAATTAAACGACTTTCCACACTCTCGGCATTTGTAAGGCTTCTCCCCCGTGTGATTTAGATAATGCACCTTCAGTTCACATGGAAAATTAAACGACTTTCCACACTCTCGGCATTTGTAAGGCTTCTCCCCGGTGTGGCTGTGGTAATGCACCTTCAGCTGGGACGGGTAATTAAATGACTTCCCACAGTCACTGCATCTGTGAGGCTTCTCCCCAGGATGAAGTTTCCCATGCCTGTCCAGTATTGATTTCTGATTGAAGGCCTTCCCGCACTCAGAGCACACGTAAGGTTTCTCTCCTGTGTGAATTCGATGGTGCACCTTGAGTTTGGCTGTTTTACTGAATGATTTCCCACACTCCTGGCATTCATAAGGCTTCTCGCCTGTGTGGATTTGACAGTGCACCTTCAGTTGGGATGGAAACTTGAAAGACTTTTCACACTCACAACATTTGTAAGGCTTTTCTCCAGTGTGGCTTTGTTGATGGGATGTCAACTCTGACTTCTCCAAGAAGGCCTTCCCACATTTATCACAGACAAAAGGCATCTCCTTCCTGTGAAGCAGCTCATGTTCACAGAAAACTGACCTGCTGCCGAAAGCTTTCCCACACTGACTGCACACATAGGGCTTCTCTTCTGTGTGAATTTGCTCATGCTCTTGGAGCGCGGCCTCAGTACGAAAGATTTTCCCACAGCCGCTGCATTTGTAAGGGTTCTCCCCAGCCTGAATTAGCTCTCCCTCCTTCAGGGGAAATGGGTAACGCAGTGACTCCGACATGTGGAGGAAGGCCTTCCCATCCTTGTATGAGACAAACGGGCTCTCCGCAGTTGGAGTGATCCTGGGTTTGTGCGAAGAGGACACGGCATAGAGTACCTTCCCACACTTAGTACCCTGATCTGCTTTCTCCTGAGAATAACCGTCGTGCTGTGTCAGTGGGTACTTATGGCTGAGACCGTCTCCACGCCCAGGCCTTGTGCAGGCTTCCTCTCCTCCATGAGTAATCATAAAGTTGGCCTTACAAGAACCCTGTGTGACGAGCTGACCAGACACCACAATGTAAAGAAGCTGCTTTGTGACACTGCTTTCCTTCTGAGCATTTGCTTCTAGGTTCAGATTCAAACTTGTTGGAAGCGAGTAACATCTTAGAAGTCCCCCTTGTGTGGAGATGAGGTGGGGTGCCAAAACAATGGTTTCCCCAGGCTTCTGACATGCACGGCCACTGTCTGTGCACAGTGTTTTCTTGTCGAGGACAGCACCTGGACTCGAGGGTGGGGTCCGGTTTGGCTGATCTCTCTTTGTAGGGTCAGTATTCTTCCACAGTTCTTGCAGAAGGGAACACCATGAACCATCTCTGGTGACTTCACTTGCTGAATAATCACTTTGAACCAAAGCTTTCTCAGAAAGTTTCTGTGATGGGGAGTCAAGCCCACATGTTTCTGGGAAGAGACGTGAAGGAACAGACACCATGAACAAGATCTAGGAGAATCACAGATCGGTGATTCAGAGTTTCTGGAACTTATATAAATAAAAATAACTACAAGCCTGCATCAAAATTGATCAAAAAGAAGCAAAATAGCCAGGCATGGTGGCGCACGCCTTTAGTCGCAGCACTTGGGAGGCAGAGGCAGGTGGATCTCTGTGAGTTTGAGGCCAGCTGGGGCTACAGGGAGGCCCTGTCTCAAAATGACAGGGGAAAAAAAAAAAAGAAGCAAAATAGCACACCCGTTTTTTCCCCAACTACATGTTGCTTCGTGGTTGAGTTAGTCCACTTAGGTATAATTATCTCCAAGATGAGACCAGCTCTTTGCCACATGATCACTTGCTGCAGTTTTACAAAGGTCCCTAACTGGCTTTGATAACATGTTGGATTGCAACATAAGCTGTAAAAACCCAGGGCAGGAAAAAGCCCAGGTGACCAACACCAGGAAACGAATACGGGAGACAGACTGATCGCGTCCCCAAGAGAACTCTACCCCCACCTGGGCAGCAGTCCCTCACCTTGACACCACCTCTGGCCTGAGAATTCAGCCTCCTCTGTCCGTGCCTCCTTTCCTTCCTCCATCCTAAAGATGACCTCCGGGCTGGGAATGGGATACCCTGTTAATGGAAGGGTACTGGATTTGTGTGGTTTCTTGTCTTTTTGGACCATCTCTTGCCTCTTGTCTCTCGTCTCTTGTGAACTTTGTACTGTCTTGGAGAAAAACCCAAACCCAAAACCTGACATTTTCCACTGGGTACAAAGCAGTATCTGCGCTCACCCACTGACACGAGGTGGCTGTAGATCTCCAGCATCACGTCCTGGTACAGGCATCTCTGGGCGGGGTCCAGGTGCTGCCACTCCTCCTGGGTGAACGCCACAGTCACATCCTCAAACGATACCAATTTCTGCAACAACCGACCACATTTCGCTATGAATTACTCATCACTGGCAAATGGGAATGCTATACAAGGGTGTTTTCTAATTGTTTTTCACCGTGATGTTTCATTAAGCTCCCCACAAAATATCTATTTCACATTAATCTGTGGTGGATGGGATAAAGAAAATTTATTTTGAGAAATCCTGCCAGTTATCATACATAATCATGTTTTAAAAATATTGTAAACAGGGCTGGAGAGATGGCCTGGCAGTTAAGAGCACTGACTGCTCTTGCAGAGGACACAGTTTTGATTCCCAGCACCCACATGGCAGCTAACAACTGTCCATAACTCCACTTCCAGGGGATCTGATGCTCTCTTCTGACCTCCTTGGGCATGTCACAACACGGGTGCACTTAACACACACATAGGCAATACACCCATACACATAAAATAACAAAATTTTAAGTATTATAAATGGATTCTAAGATTCAAACAAAAAATAAGCAGTACAATATTTATTAAGCAATATTCCAGGCTATAGTGGTGTCGGGTCCATTGGGTTCTGCATCATGAAACAAGCACCTAAAAGCTTCTTCAGTTAGAAGATATTCATTCCTCAGTTGCGATCACAAGGTAACTAAACACAGGCTAAAAGCCTGGCATCACCTCCTGCACTATGGCCTTTGGCTTCAGAGACTCCAACTTGGCTTCATATTAACTCCTCTTGAAATCAGTGTCTGCAGTGTAACTCGGGAACTCAGGTTCACTTGAGTAGAAGCCCCTTGTGATGGTCGCTGTTTCTTGTTTACTTGATACAATCTGGAATCACATAGGAAGCAAAACTCCAGGCACACAGTGAGTGATCATGTAGATTAAGGTTGGCCTCTGAGACTGTCCATGTAGGATTAGCAAAACTCCAAGCACACAGTGAGTGTTGGCCTCTGAAACCGTCCATGTGGGATTAGCAAACTCCAGGCACACAGTGAGTGTTGGCCTCTGAGACCGTCCGTGTGGGATTAGTAAACTCCAGGCACACAGTTGAGTGATCATGTAGATTAAGGTTGGCCTCTGAGACAGTCTGTGTGGGATTAACAAACTCCAGGCACACAGTGAGTGATCATGTAGATTAAGGTTGGCCTCTGAGACAGTCTGTGTGGGATTAGCAAACTCCAGGCACACAGTGAGTGATCATGTAGATTAAGGTTGGCCTCTGAGACTGTCCATGTGGGATTATCTTGATTATGTTCACTGATGTGGGAAGACTCATCTTAATGATAGACAAGACCATTCTGAGCAGGGGCTCCTGGACCATATAAGACAAGCTGGCTGAGCCCCATCATTCATCAGTGCCTGCTTCCTGAGTGTGGATGTGATGCCACCAGCCATTTCGAGCTCCTGCCGCTCTGACCTGACACCATGACGGACTGTACACTTGAGCTGAGGCTAAAATAAACACTCCTTTGAGTTGCTTGTCAAAGCATTCGATCACAGTAACCAGAAAAGAAACTAAGACACCCCTAGTAAGAATCACTTGAGCTGCGGAGCCTGCACTGCTCCACTGCATCTTCTTCACCAGTGACAGCTACAGTCCACGTGCGGGCACCATATTGGACAGCATATGCTTATATTTAAATGCCAACTTAAAAGAAAGAGAAGAGATAGGGACTGAAGAGATGGCTCAGTAGTTAAGAGCACTGGCTGCTCTTGCAGAGGACCTGGGTTCGATTCCCAGCACCCACATGGCGGCCAACAACCATCTATAACTCCAGTTCCAGGTGATCTGGCACCCTCTTTTGACCTCCTTGGGCATTGCATGACCTGGGGCACTTACATACATGCAGGCAAAACACTCATATATATAAAATAAACTCTTAAAAAGTAAGAAGTAGGGGCTGGAGAGATGGCTCAGTGGTTAAGAGCACTGGTTGCTCTTGCAGAGGACCCGGGCTCAATTCCTAGCACCCACATGGTGGCTAACAACTGTCCATAACTGCAGTTCCAGGAGATCTGACACCCTCTTCTGAGCTCCACAGGCACTGCACGACATGGGTACACTTACATACATGCAGGCAATACACTCATACACAATAAAAATAAAATATTAAAACAAAAAGATTAAAAGAAAGGAAAAAAAGGAACAGAGAGAGGAAAATGATTTATAGTTTAGTGGCAAGGTGTACGGCTCAACTGAGACTATGTGTCTAGCATTCATAAGGCCAAGAACTTTTTTTGGTCTTTTCAGACAGGGTCCCCCTGTAGCCCCAGCTGGCCTGGAACCTGCTATGGAGACGCAGAGATCCACGTGCCTCTGCCTCCCAAGTGCAGGGCTTAAAGGCGTGCCCCAGCACTCAGGAGGTAGAGGCAGGGGGATCTGAAGTTCAGAATGATATCATATTCAGCTACAGGGCAACTTTGAGGGCAGTTCAGAAATGCGGAGCCAGGTGTGGTGGCGCACACCTTTAATTCCAGCACTTGGGTGGCAGAAGCAGAGGCAGGCGGATCTCTGTGAGTTCGAGGCCAGCTGAGGCTACAGGGAGATCCTGTCTCAAAAAGAGGAAAAAAAAAGAGGAGAAAAAAAGAGCAAGCTCAAAATAACACCAGAACCAGGTCCTCTGCAAGAGCAGCCAGTGGTCTTAACTACTGAGCCAGCTCTCCAGCCCCACTGACTGGACTTGGTATGAAAACTCTACATGAGATAATAGCACTAGGAAGTGAGGATATCAAAAAATCACTGCTGCCTGGTGGGTGTGGTGGCACTTAGTTCCAGCACCCAGGAGGCAGAGGCAGGCAGATCTCTGTGAGTTCAAGGCCAGCCTGGTCTACATAGTGAGTTCCAGGCCAGCTGGGGCCACAGGGAGACTCTGTGTCAAAAAATTTTTAAAAATTCACTGCTATTTTTTAAAGTATATGAACAACATCTATGGTTATGTAGAGAGACACACCCAAGCACTTACACGGAGAAAACAATCTCTGGGATTTGGCTACAAACCACCTAGAAATGAGAAATACAAATGAAACAGAAACATGCTAATAGTTGTTCAAAGATGGGGTTCACTCAGCAGACAGTGTATCCTGCATTTGCTCCTGCCTAAATATGCCTTTTTCTTTAAAAAGTTTTACTCAGTTATTTTCATTTTGTGTATACGAGTATACGGCCTGAACATGTGTAAATCCACTGTGCATGCATTGTCTGTGGAGGCCAGAAGAGGGCGTCAGATCCTCTGGAACTGGAGTTAAGGACAGTTGTAAGATGCCATGTGGGTGCTGGGAACTGATCCCAGTCCTCTGCAAGAGCAGCCAGTGCTCTAACCATTGAGCCATCTCTCCAGCCACTCCTTTTTTGTTGTTGTTTTTTTTTATTTGAGACAAATATCCCACCTTGTCTCATTTTTGAGTATACAGATAAATGAACATGTGACACTACAGATAAATGTACATGTGACACTAAAGTGGGGAGAACATGTTTAGAGCAGAGGGGGGTAAGAACGAAGGGGAGGGAAGGGAAGGGGTGTTAGCTCAGAGTATATCATATACTTGTATGACAATGTCCTCTTTGACCCTGTACCAAGGTCAACCAGAGAAAATAGAAAAGAACAATGAAACAATTTGGTTTGTCCTTTTCTTTTTATTTGTTTTATTTCTTTTGGAGACAGGGACTCACTGTTGAGCCCTGTCTGGCTTCCTACTCATTAAGCTGTGAGTTGATTCCCACTGACACCAGATTCCTGAGTCTCTTTAGTGTCAGGATCTCAGACAAGGGCCACCATTCGAGGCTTAACTTTGTTGTTGCTGAGATAGGATCTCATTATGAGGACTGGCCTGGGACTACCTATGTAGACCAGGCTAGCCTTGAACTCACAGAGATCCTCCAGGCTTTCTCTCACAAGTGCTAGGATTAAGTGAGTGTGCCACAACACCGGGCAAATAATTTTTTTTTTTTTAATTAAGCAAAATGGGGGTCTGTTGAGATGGTTTGGCGCTTAAGAGCTCTGACAACTCTAGTAGAAGACCTGGGTTTGTTTGGAGCCTGTCATCCTGGCCCTTGGGAAGTAGAGGCAGGAGGATTAGGAGTACAAGGCCATCTTCAATTAAAAAGGGAGAGTGAAGCTAGCCTGGGCTATATGAGATCCTGTCAAGAAAAAAAAAAGGCAAAGGGGGGGGGTAGGAGGGAGGGAGGGGCAGAATGAGAGCAAAAAAGAGAGGAACAGAATGAGCAGATAAGTACAGTACTCAAAATAGCCAAAGGATAGCAGGGCTCAATCTCAGCCATAATAAAATGATCAAGCCTGTCAGAAGATGTCATACTGCCAGTGATCAGATTGGTAATAACCAGTGTGTTTACTGAACCTACACAGACCCAGTTTGCTGGGTCCGTCCAGAGGGGTGGAAATGCTGGGTCTCAGACAACACACACATCACAAACCGACATGATTGATACCTTCAGCAGTTGCTGAGGACCAACAGTTCTTCCTGTTTTCTCAGTGCATGGCCACATCTAGGCTGGGCATTGTTGGTGTGGCTAATTTTACATAGGGGGGGGGGTATGGGATGTTTGTTACACAGGCATTTCCTACTAAACAGGAAGCTGAGTTTCTTCCTGTCTTTCCTGAACTCTGCAAGTAAGTCTCTTCCTGACTTCTTACTCCTTTTAAAAGAAAGCTTTGCAACATGCAGTGATGGGCTTTTGTTAATATCAGTAGCTTACATAATGGGAGGAGGCTGGAGGGCTGTGAGACAGAGGGGGTGACTGGGAGTGGAACTGAAGTGGCTTGTGTTCACAGGCTAAGGGGATCCCCACAACAGAGGACTGGAAGCCAGCAGCAGACTTGGCACAAAATAAAACATGGAAGGGTTAATTTTTGAAATTCACACTCTCCATTCAGAAAATTACACTTTGAAGTATCTCAAATATGTAAGAACCAGGACCACATGCCATTAAAATAAATAATAAAAACTGAAACCAGGTTTTCTTTTGTTTGTTTTGGTCTTTTTGAGACAGGTTCTCCCTGTATCCCCAGCTGGCCTGGAACTCCAGGATGGCCTTGAACTCACAGAGATCCACCTGCCTCTGCCTGGGATTAAAAGCCTGGCTTGTTTTGTTTTTTGAGACAGGGTCTCCTAGCAGACCCAGGTGGCTTGGTACTGGGTATGTAGACCAGGTTGGCCTTGATCTCACAGAGATCCACCTTGCCATCACATCCAGTGAAAATCAAGTTCTTAAAATTCTAGGCCAGCTGGGGCTACAGGAAGACCCTGTCTCAAAAAGAACAAACTAAATAAATACATAAAAATAAAACAAAAAACAAAACAAAAGAATAGCAACTAGGCCAGTGAGATGGCCCAGAGATAACAGTGGCCCGGCTAACCTTGACAACCAAGTTTGATCCCCAGGCCAGCATGGTGGAGAAAACGGACTCCTACAAGTTGTCGTCTGACCTTGACACCTACTCCATGACACAGAGGCACACACAAAACATAATTTAAAAATTAGTAAAACTAGGGAAAAATATTTTTTTTTGGTCTTTTTGAGACAGGGTCTCCCTGTAGCCCCAGCTGTCCTGGAACTCACTATGCGGATCAGGCTGGCCTTGAACTCACCACACCCAGCAGGGAACAATTTTTAAAAATATTTAAAAAATATGTTTTATTTATTTTTATTTTATGTGTATGTGTGTATTGCCTGCATGTAGGTAAGTGCACCTGTGTCATGCAATGCCTGAGGAGGACAGAAGAGGCCATTGGATCCCCTGGAACTGCAGTACGGACAGTTAACTGCCATGTGGGTGCTGGGATTCGAACCCGGGTCTTCTGCAAGAAGTTCCTAACTGCTGAGCCATCTCTCCAGGGCAACAATTCTTTTTTTTTTTAAGAAGGGTATCCGGGGCCAGTGAGCTAGTTCAGTGGGTGCTCCCTATCACCTGAGTTTGACCCATGGAACCCACGTAAAGGCGGCAGGAAAGAATTAACTCCACAAACTGGTCCTCTTAGCCACAGGTGCACAGGTACACCACACTTGTGTACACACACACACACAAATAATAATCAATAAAAATCAGATGGGTTTCTTTCTGTGGAAACTCTTTAAAATGGAAAACTTAACATCTGAAAGGAAAAATAGGTTTGGGCTAGGGATAAGAATAGAGGGCATTAGGGAGACAAAAGGGATTTATAAACTGTAATTCAAACCCAGATAAATATAGTAAAAAATTAAGCATTTCTGTGACATCTTCAAAGGCATATATAAAACTTTCGATAGATACTTCATTTAAATACCTAAATCCATGGTATTCATTTTGTTTTAAATGACTTTCTCAGCCATGCCAGGTCTCTAAGACAGCCTGCCATGCACCCATCTCCAGGGTACAACCTCAAGATGCACCTACACATTAGAGGACACACTCTAATGCACACTCTCATTAGAGAACTACAGAATTCAGGACTCAGACTTGAATACACCAGAGGAAAATATCCCCCGCATGGCAGCGAAGGAAGCCAACAGGACCGTGTGGCATGTGGAACCACGACAGCAGCCTGGCCCCAGCCTAGGAAGCCAGAAAGGTACCAGGAGAGGTTTCCTCAGGGGATGGAGCTGACTGGCAGGCGGGCTCTGGAGCACACTGCCTGCTCTAACCCCAGGCTGCCTGCCTGTTCATCACTGGAAGTTGAGCCCGTTCCAAGTCCCTCAGCTTCTGCTCTGTAAAATGGGGTCAACAGCCACATGTAACAAGTCTCTTGTGAGGATCAGCCTGGGACACAGGAAGCTACAAATAAGTGCCTGTAATTGTTGCTACAGCTGCTGTTAGCTACAATTAATTTCATTTTATGACCAGGATAATTCACACACTTGAAAACATTAATAAAATGAATATCTAACATACAAAACCACTCATTGCAGGGCTGGAGCGCTGGCTCAGTGGTTAAGAGCACTGGCTGCTCTTGCAGAGGACAAGGGTTTGATTCCCAGCACCCACATGGCAGCAACCAACCACCCATAACTCCAATTTCAGGGGATCCGATGCCCTTTTCTGACCTCTGTGGGCATTGCATGACACGGGTGCACTTACATACATGTGGGCAATACACTCATACACATAAAAAATAATAAAAATAATAAACGAAATATTTAAAATCAGTCATTGCAAAGCAAAAGGCAGCTGTCCACCAGAACATTAAACAAGGCAGGCGTAGTTGCAGTTTACACAGCGGTGTGAACAGGGACGATGGATCCAAGCAGAATTGCACCTATTAGTTACCTAGTTGGGGATTCTTAGCAGCCTCAGAGGCCACAGAGACCCTAAAATTAAACTTTAGGACCCACCTTCCCTGGTGAGTTTAAAAAGGGAAACATGTTAGCCTTTCCTTAGGATTTAAAATCCCATATAAAAAGGTGGAGATACCAGGGCATTGAAACCTATTAGGGAAAGTGACTTCCTCCAGGTCAAAAGAATGGAATCTAAATTCTACTTCTGGCCCTGGGTGGAGACCTAACATTCTAATCTGACCCAAAGATTAGAACCTTACATACTACTGTCTCTCCTAAGAGTTACTCCAACTCCAAACCTGACAATCACCTGGCTCTCACCACCATCCACAGGAGATGAGGGACTGGCTTCCCCCAAGGCCCTCCCTCAGGGCACCTGCTCCCAGGTCACTGCTAGGCCTACAGACATTTCTGATTAGTAACTCAAACACCCCAACTTCTCCTCTCCTCCCTCTCTTTTCCGGACCCTGACTTGCTTGGCTTTCTCACAGTCCCTGAAGTTCCTCCCTGGCCCACATACCCTTTTCTACATTATCGTCTCCCTCCTCCTTCCTCCCTAAATCCACCAGAATTCTCAGTTTACCTGCCCAGTTGGCCTGCCCTGTTAGTTTTCTCTAAATTACTAATAAAATGGTTCTCTAGCTCCTTTCTGAGTCCTTTTTAAAAATTCCTTTATCAATGACACAAAGAACCAATAAATGGGAGCCCTAATTATGTGTTAACACTGTCTCTTAGAAGTGTACAGCGCACGCGCATGGAAAGCAAGCTTTGAGAACTCGGGGCAGGAGCCTGAGAAAAAGAAAAAACAGGGCTGGAGACATGGCTCAGCAGTTAAGAGCACTGGCCGCTGTTGCAGAGAACCCGGGTTCGGTTCCCAGCATGCACATGATGACTAACAAACATTTGCGGCTCCAGGGGAATTCAATGTCCTCTTCTGACCTCCATGGGCATTGTACAGTACATGGGTGAACTTACATACACCCAAGCAAAAGTTATACACATAAAATAATAATAAATATAGTATTTTAAAAAGAAATCTAAATAGGAGAACCCAAGAGGCAAGAAAACGATCCTGTCATTAAAAGGTAGTGGGCTAACCCAGGCATGGTCACTGGGCGTGGTGGTGCATGCCTTTAATCCTAGCACTCTGGAGGCAGAGGCAGGCCAGTCAGGCTACAGTGAGAAGAGACCCTGTCTGAAAACAAAACAAAAAACAAACAAACAAACAAACAAAAAGACAGAGGCTACCTTTGGTGGTAATCCCAGTACTGGAGAGGCCAAAACAAAAAAAGATTGTTGAGTCTGAGGGTGGCCTGGGCTATATGGCAAGTTCCAGGTCAGCCTCAGCTACATGTCTCCAGAGAAAGAGAGAAAGAGAGAGGAGAGAGAAAGAGAGAGAGAGAGAGAGAGAGAGAGAGAGAGAGAGAGAGAGAGTTGATTAGGAGGTATTGAACAGGAGAATCCCGAGCATCTCAGGAACAGGATCTGCCCCTTCCTATGTCTGCCCTTGAGATCACCCATGAGGAAACCCCTACTTACCTCATATGACCCCTCCTGCTCCTCTGCACCCAGTAGGTGAGTCTTCCGGCATAAACTCCTATCTACAGCCATGTCCCCTCTCATCTTCTAGTCCTGGGCTTTCTGGCAAATCTGGACTCCTCGTCGTCACAGAAGCTGAGCAGAGGCAGGCTGTGCTGGGAAGAGGAGATAGCCTGAAGCCTGGATGACTTGGTCCCAGGAGAGCTGAAGAGACACTGGAAAACAAACAAAAAAACAATGACCCATGCTCGCTCACTGAACATCTGACTGACCACGAACTTCTGAGGGCCCAGGCTGAAGGACATAGCAGAGGAAACGAAGCCCATAAAAGCCTTGCTCACTTTTGTGATTGACTCACTTACAAAGGAACAAGAACAAATGTAACTCTGGACCCAAGGAAGGACCACTGCAGCTCTCCCACACTTTAACAGGAAGAAGAACACAGTACTAATTTAGTTACTTCCAAAATGAAGACACAGATATTAATGACAGGGATCTGGGATCTCATTCCAGGGAAGGCTCCTTAAGCCCTGAACAACTGCCTGGCAAGTTGTAAATATGAATAAAAATCAGTAAGCTGCCAATTTTTTTTTTTTTTTTTTGAGACAGGGTCTCACTATATAGACCCAGACTGCTCTGGAACTCACAGAGGTTCTCTCTACCTCCTGAGTGCTGGGATTAAGGGGGTGTGCCACCATACATGGAAACTTAATTTTTACTTAATTTCAAACAACCCTTTCTGCTGTTATGTGATAAGCATTATTATTCTGCTCGATCTGCCCACAGGGTCACTAAGCACAATTATAGGGTGCTGTCCCCTATGTGGTAGCATCTAGAAACAATTCTGTTTCTTATTGCCCAGATAGCTCAGGGGGTGATGGCCAATCTGATTCCTATTCCAAGTTTCCAGACTTTCTCTGTTCATCCAAAGCCACACAGCCTATTGTTTTTTGACACATCACTGAAGTTCACTGACCTAATCTCCCAGCCCTCCACCCCCATTGGCCCAGAAAACCTGCACACATGTGCCAGGCCCCCATTCACGTAACACTTCTGGCTTGTCCATGATGAGATAGATGACCCCTCTATGCCAGAATGCAGAAGCCAGTGACTTCCAGTAACCTCCAGTGACTGGATATAGGACTGCCAGGTTACAAACTGCCTCCATCTCTGACAGGTCCGGGCTTGCATAATCATTACTGCCCTGGTAGCCAAAAATGTCTCCCAGACAGTGTAATTTACTGGTTTCTGCAGGAACCCCAAATAATCCCTAACAAAAGGGATTCAAACAGCATGCCCCAATATGAAAGCTACCTCATTCTGGTGAATTGCCAATCAATGAATGATCTTTATCATTTGCATAGAGTGGCCCTAGAAACTAGAATTTGCCATATATAGCTCTTATACACACACATATATATACACACACACACACACACACACACACACACACACATTTTTTTTTTTTCCTGAGCTTGGATAAAAGCAGACACCTGTAACTCCAATACTCAAGAATCAGAAGTAAGCAAATCACCCCAAGATCCAAGCTATATTGGTATTCATAGGGAGACTACGTCTCAAGAGAACAAAACACATGTTTTTCAGCTCTAGCTCGGGAGAGGAAATACCATGCTGGGAACGGAATCGGCCCTGCAGTCAGGAGCCCTGGTCCCCAGCAATAACACAAAGTCTTCCACGCGGGTCTACAGCTATGCGTATCTCCTGGGATTGTTCAATCCAGTCCATAAATGTTCACTCTGCCATGGATAGGGTTCAGATAGATTGAACATGGCTCTCTGTGTCCCTGTGGTGAGCTCAAATTCTAAATGAATTCTTTTTTTTTTTCTTTCTGCTTTAAATAATAAAGACGCTTTCCCAGGTTCCAGAAGTGCTGAGAATTTTAGGTAATCAGGTCCTTTAATAACGCTGGTCACTCGCAGTGGGAGAAATGGGGATAGGAGAGCCACCAGCAACTCGCCGGACAAAGGAAAATTCCTTACTTTTGGAGGGGGCCGGCCTCTGAGCTTAGGGGAGAGGGTTTCCGAAATTAAACTCTCTGAATTTAGCAATTAGAGAAAGTACTAGATAGATTAATAAGGCAGGGCCGATCCCCTCCCAAGAGACATCTGTGATCTGGTATTTTCTTTTCTTATGTAGTTGTGTTTTCTCTTCATGCGGGCCAGTGTGGGACCCCGACCCAGGCCTCCCCGCCATGGCCCCGCTGACACCCGGGTGCAGAAGGCCGTGCAGTCCACACAAGCACCCCCTCCCCAGGCCTGCGGGCTCCATCCTCAGCCACGTGCTGTCCTGACTCTTCCCCATCCCCACCCACCCTCCAAGTCCTCCACCTGCAGCTCCAGCTCCACCCAGCACGGACTCCCGCAGCACCCACGGGGAGTCCTCCCAGGGTCCCCGGTGCTGTCCTCGGTGCTCAGAGGGGACCGTTCTCGGACTACGATATCAAATCCCACGGGGAAGTGCACTGAGAAGTCACAGAACACAGGGATGCAGAAAACACGCAAGAATAGAGCAAAGCGGCGGCCGATCCCCACCTTCACCGCCCCCCGCCCCCCCGCAGCCCGGCGTCGGACCATCACGCAGCAGAAAGCACCGCTCACCGCACAGCATCACACGCCCCTCACCTCGAGCTCCCCGGCGCCTCTAACCCGGCCGCCGGCTCTGCGAGATGAAATGTCCAATCACCTCTCAACCTCCTTGCAAAATAACCCTAGAATGACTTGACCATTTAAGACTTCATGGCCACTGTCCCCACTTCCGGTGTCACTTACATTTCCGGCAGCATTTGTCTGCACTCGGTGGAACTAGGCGCATGCCCGCTAACGCTCCCACAGCTGCCTGTCTGCCAGTAGTCATCATGGCGGACTAGGTGTTTCCGGTTCCTTCAGAAAACGTCATGGCACCGCTCATAGGATGCTGCTGCTGGACGTCTCCATCACTGACCTTCTCGCACAGCCGGAGGGGTCCGCAATGACACCGAATGAAATCTGCAGGTTTTCACACTGTTCAAACAATGGACCCCAAGAAACGGAATTTCCCCAGGAATCTAGTGGTGAGTAGGAATGGGCTGAAGCCAGGCGCCCAAGGGGAGTGGCTCATGCAAACCTATTTCCCACAGTTCTGACAACTTCTCAGACTACTCAGCTGGACGGACTGGAGCCAGGTCCAGTGATAGTGGGGTAAACTGCATTGACCAAGTCCGGCTAGTAAGTCACACCTCTTTCCTTCTATTTAAACCTAAACCTCATGTCAGGACACTGATGCTAGGCTTGCAGGGATGAAGTAGGGGCCGGGGTGTGTGGAGCCAGTGCATCACTGGCTCTCTTGCTCCTGGTCTCAGTGTGTCCACATTGAATACATCTCCTTTCTCTGCTTCTCACTATTACTTGTTTCTTTAATTGGCCCGTAGAGGACAGTGGCCCCATGCTAGCTTGCTCTGGCTTTCAGGTCCTAGGCCCTGACCCCCAAATTTTCAGTAACGTATTTTTCTGCATTTCTGAACTATATTAGCATCTTAACGTAAGTTACTCCATCTTGTTCAGAATAGCTATTTTAACAGTAACCTCTTTTCACTTATGGGAAATATTTAAAAAGAGACAACAGCCTTGAGTTCCAAGAAATAGCTCAATCACAAAACAGTGGAATGTACTAATCTCAGACATTTACATCTGGCTAACGGCCGGTTTTCGTTTCTGTAACTCGCTTGCTATTTTAGGTCACCTTGACACAAAGTATAAGACCACCCTGTTATTGTATGACCACCCAGTAACTGCTGATTCCAGCTTTCTTACTATACTTGTTATGGCTGGGAAGTTGACTAATTTTTTTTTTTGTATTTTTGAAGCAGGGTCTGGCTGTAGCCCCAGCTGTCCTGGAACTATGTAGACCAGGCTGGCCTTGAACTCACAGAGATCTGCCTGCCTCTGCCTTCCAAGTGCTGGGACTACAGGCATGCACCTCTATGCCCGGCTGGAAGTTGACTAATTTTAAAATTACAAAGTTGATTGCCAAGTTATATGACTGTATAACTTGTCTGTATAATGATTGGTTGTTGATCAATAGATTCAAAGTTCTGCCATGTTGTACAAACATGATTGGTTCACAAGTGTCCTGTTTGAATTATATTTCTGTAATCCTATAAAAACTCTGGCCCTACAATGATCAGGGCTGCATCTATTTTCAAGACAGACAGCCCAGCCGGTCGAAATAATAAACATTGACCTTGTTACTTTTCTTAAAGTGGTGCTGGTGATTTTTTTTTTTTTGTGAACTCCGTCATATAAGAATTTTTTTTTATTGCACATCACTCCTTTACTATACTGATCTGAAAAAGATTACAGTTATGCTCAGAATGAGTGCTGAACCCACATGGTAGGGCCAAACAACTGGAACCAGATTCATAAGACAGTAAAAGACACATCTGGACATGATCAAGGCAGAGGGATCCTAAGATACACAGCAGGAGACACTCCTGTTCTTTTCTGAATTATTATTAATTGAAAACTGGGTGGGAATAATTGAGAATGGGAATCAAAGCAAGGCTCTAAAATGACACCTTCAATTTCTTTCTCTTTTCTTTACTTTTTTCAAAAAGATTTGTTTTTATTTTTATGTGTATGAGTGTTTTGCCTGAATATATGTAGGTGCACTATGTGTGTGTAGTGCCCACAGAGGCCTGAAGAGGGAGTTGGACTCCCTAGAAATGGCGTTACAGTTAATCAGCTGCCATGTGAGTGCTGGGACTAGGACTCAAATCTTTTTTTTTTAATATTTTATTATTTTTATGTGTATGTGTATATTGCCTGTGTAAGTGCACTGGTGTTAAGTTATGCCCAAGGAGGACAGAAGAGGCTGTTGGATCCCCTGGAACTGGAGTTATGGACAGTTGTTAGTTGCCATGTGGTTGCTGGGATTTGAACCTGGGTCTTCTGCAAGAACAGTCAGTGTTCTTAATTGCTGAGCCATCTCTCCAGTCCTTTCTTTTATCTTCTAAATTGCACGTGTGTGTGTGTGTGTGTGTGTGTGATACGAATGCCACTGCACCGGTGTGGAGATCAGAGAGTAACTTGCAGGAGCTGTTTCTGTCCTTCACCATGTGGGTCCCAGGACTTGAACCCAGATCTTCAGGATTGGCAGCAGGCGCCCTGACCCACTGTGCCATCTCACCAGTCCCTTTTCTTCCTGACACGGAGTCTCTCTGTCTCCCAGGTTGGCCTTGAATTCTTCATCCTTCTTCCTCAATTTCACAAGTCTTTCAATTACAGGCATGTGCCACCATGTCTGGCTGACATGAACCCTCTTGCACACGCTATTTTGGAACTGTTTCACAGTCACCATTGAATACGGTCTATGCTTTCATGCACAAGGTTTTTCTGGTGTTTGGTTTGTTTGTTTTCTTGGTTGTTTACATGTGGAAGACAACAAAGCAGGACAAGGGTGGAGTGAGGATGCAAGTGGGGAGAGGCAGGTCGAAGAGTGAAGACAGGCAGCTCTGTAGAATTAATGCAGTGTGAGGACCACAGCAAAGACTGTGCGGCATATTGTCGACGTTTGGGGGTGCAGGCACAGGAGACCCCCTCCCCACTGCTACTCAGCAGCCTGAGGAGTTTCCTCAGAGTTTTAGGAACCTCAGCTCAGGACAAACCAGGATTCATGGCTTTCACACTGTAAAGAATTCAGAATTTAGCAGGGTGTGGTGGCGCACATCTTTAGTCCCAGCAGGGGAAGGTGGATCTCTGTTTGAGGCTAGGCTGGTCTACATAGCGAGTTCCAGGCCAACTGGGGCTACAGGGAAACCCTGTCTTAAAAAGACCCCCCCCCAAAAAAAATCAGAACTTGCATATATAGTAGAGTTAGACATTTTATTAAAGATTTTTTTTTTTTTTTTGTCTTGAGACAGGATCTCCCTGTAGTCCCAGCTGACCTGAACTCACTATGTAGACCAGGCTGGCCTTGAACTCACAGCGATCTGCCTGTCTCTGCCTCCTGAGTGCTGGGATTAAAGGCGTGTGCCACCACGCCTGGCTTCTTAAAGACATTTTTAAATGTCTTTTATTTACATTTTTTATTTATTTATCTATTTATTTATGTTTGTTTGTTTGCCTCCGCCTCCTGAGTGCTGGGATTAAAGGCGTGCACCACCACACCCAGCTACTTTTATTTATTTTTATGGGTATGAGTGTTTGCCTGCTTGAATATAAATGCACACATGCCAGTCAGTGCCCAAGGAGGCCAGAAGAGGGCGTCATATCCCCTGGAACTGGAATTAACAGTTGTTAGCCACCATGTGGGTGCTGAAAACTGAACCTGAACCTGGGTCCTCTGCAAGAGTAGCCAGCAATCTTAACCAGAGCCATCTTTCCAGCCCCAAGATAACTTTTTTTTTTTTTTTTTTTTTTGAGACAGGGTCTCACTATGTAGTCCTTGTCTGGAACTCACTGTATAGATCAGGCTGGCCTTGAACTCAAGAGATCTGCCTGCCTCTGCCTCCCAAGTGCTGGGACTAAAGGTGTGAGCCACAACGCCCGGCTAAGATTCCTTCATTTTATGTATATACGTGTATGCCTGAGGTGCACAGATAAAATGTTGGATCCTCTGTAGTTGCAGGGTTTATGAGTCAGCTGATATGGGTGATAGGAACTGAACTCAGATCCTCTGCAAGAGCAGCAAGTTCTGTTAACCTTCAGCCATCTTTTCAGCTCCTCGAATTCAAATTTTAATATCTTCATTTTGTATTTGATGTAAATGTGTGTTTAGCAAACCACAGGGCCAAGTGTCTGTGGAACACTCATGATGGCCAACCAGTATCCTAATGCTTGAGTTGGATGATAAAAGCATGTACAAAGCAGACCATGAAGTAAAAAAACAGCTCTGGGTGTGCAGCATTCACAAAGGCTGGCTCTCCAGCCACAAGCCCAACTGTGTCTAAACCTTGTGCTAATTCTTAGAACTATCAAAGGATGATCCAGGCAGATTAGGAGGGTATGCATGGATTGCAATGTCCAATGTCATTCTGTTTTTTGTGTTTTGTTTTTGGTCTTTTTGAGACAGGGAAGCTGGCCTGGAACTCAGAGATCCGCCTACTTCTGCGTCCCGAGTGCTGGGACTAAAGGTGTACGCCACCATGCCTGGCTAAATAAAAATTTTAAAAATATTTTATTTTTCTTTTTTTTCATATTTTATTATTTTTATTTTACGTGTGTGTATTGCCTGCGTGTAGGTAAGTGTGCCCGTGTCATGCAGTGCCTGCGGAGGACAGAAGAGGCTGTAGGATATCCTGGAACTGGAGTTATGGACAGTTGTTAGCTGCCATGTGGGTGCTGGGATTTGAACCTGGGTCTTCTGCAAGAACAACCAGTGTTCTTAACCACTGAGCCATCTCTCTAGCCCCAAAATAAAATATTTTTAAAAACACAAATTAGAGCTGGGCATGGTGGTGCATGCCTTTAATCCCAGCACTTTGTCAGAGGCAGGAGAATCTGTGAGTTCAAGGCCAGCCTGGTCAACATATCGTGTTCCAGGCCAGCTCAGGCTACATGGTGACCCTGTCTCAAAATGACCAAAAACCCCCACGAAACACAAATTAGTAGTCGTATTTGCCCAACACTCATGACTTACTGACTTCTAGTATATCTGATTAGAAGCCTGTATAAAAATCAAATGGTGATAGCTCAGTGAATAGAACCTGTCACATAAGCCTTATGGCCTGAGCTGGATGGATCCCCAGAATCCAACTAAAGTGTGGATGTGGTGATGCACATCTGCAAACACAGCGTTTGTGGTGCTTTGAATGCAATGGTCTCCCATAGGCTCCAAGTATTCAGACATTTTATCCCCAGTTGGTGGCAGTTTTTGCAAGGTCTTAGATGGTGTGGCCATGCTGAAGTAAGCAGGTGTCACTGGGGGCAGGCTTAGAGAGTTCTTGAGCCTTGCTGGATCTCCAGTCACTCTGCTTCCCATACATGCTTGAAGATGTGAGCACTTAGCTTCTGCTCCTGTTCCAGCCACCTCTGCCGCCTACGTGCCTCCCCGCCAGGATGGAGTCTTGCCTGTTTGGAACCATAAGCTAAATAAACTCTCCCTTCAATAAGTTGGTCAGGGTTTTTATCACAGTAACAGAAAAGTAACTAATACAGCATTCCCACAGCAAGATGCAAGGCGGACACAGAATTACCTGGAAGCTTGCAGACCAGCCTGGAGTACACAGTGCAATGGCAGAAACTAGAGGAACTCCAAGGACAAGAACTCTCAAACGTTGTCCTCTGACCTCCACACACAAGCCACGACATGCCAAGCCTGTACACACACACACACACACACACACACACTAATAATTTAAAAAATATAAAAAGTACAGACTGAGGGACTGGAGAGTTGGCTCAGTGGTTAAGAGCACTGACTGCTCTTGCAGAGGACCCGGGTTCAATTCCCACCACCCACATGGCAGCTACAAACCGTCCTTAACTCCAGTTCCAGGGGAATCCGAAGCCCTCTTCTGACCTCTGCGGCATTGCATGACACAGGTGCACTCACGTACATGCAGGCAATACACTCATACACATAAAATAAAAATTAAAAAAAACAAAAGTACAGACCGAATGGTCGGTTCTGCTATCCATGGAGTTCACCTCACACGCTACAGGTGGAGAGTAAAGGAGAGTTGAGCTGAGCTCAGCATGAAGGGAGACGAAATCTATAGCACGAAGAGGAGTGAACGTCAGAATCTCATTTATGCATTTATTCAAAAAAGGTCATTCATAGAAGTTAATAATTATTGATGGTATATCAAGAAAGAGTAACAGAAAAATTGATAAATATAAACTAGCTTATTACTTATTCGTTTTATGCAGTGACTTCTACAGGAAGCCTCAATAAACTATGAGACACACACACACACACACACACACACACACACCTCCATACACACACTGATACATGTGTATAAACATGCATATGTGTGTGCTGACCAAACACATGCACATATAAACATACACATACCTACAAATAAAGCACATATAAACATACACATACCTACAAATAAATATGCATACACATGATGAACACACATAGACGTCCATACACAATACTGACGTGTCATTCATATGATTGGCACTTTTGGATTACTGCTATCCCACAATAGCAAGAATATCACGGACACAGTTTCTCATAAACTTTCTTAGAGTCTGGTAAAAATATATTTTATATCACTTTCTACAGAAAGGTTTTTCTGATCAGTCAGGGTCAGCCTGGACTGAAATTCCTAATTTTTGTTTGAGACAGGGTCTCCCTGTACACACCGCTGGGCTGTAACTCCCTAGACCAGACTGACCTCCATCACAGAGATCTGCCTGCTTCTGCCTACTGATGCTGGGGTTTAAAGGCCTGTGCCACCATGCCCAGTGACAGTTGTAATTCTTAACAAGGTAACTCCAGATACAGATATGTGTGTTTATCATCACAAGTTATTTTGTGGGTAATGTCCTTGTGCATAATGTTTTCTGTATCTAAACAAGTAATGCATAATTTTTTCAGTAATGGTTGGGTGTACAATTAGATTTCTTATAAAATGAGTTTCAAGTAATTAAAAGAATACATTTCATTTGTAAATATTCTGATGACCTAGGAACTCATTTCTCAGTAAAATCTATTATATAATAACTAAACCTGTAAGAACTGTCTGTGGAATGAGTTACTTGATATGAGTTGAATTCTGACCTGATGAGGAAGACCTTTAGACATCCATAACACACATAAAGTCTCCCAATGAGTGAATGTGGGACATAGGAATGATTTCTCAATTGTGACCTTCCAAAGGTTTTTCTCCAATTTGAGTTCCTTCATGAGATGTCAACTCTGACCCACATTTGTTAACAGACAAAAGCTTTACTCTAGGAGCTGTCTGGTACCTACAAAGTTAACCTGCCACTGAAGATGTCCTCACATTCAGCATGCATATAGGGCTTCTCTCCTGTGTGAATTTGTTCATGCTCTTGCAGAGTTAAAATTAGAAGCCAATGAGCCACGCATGGTGCACACCTTTAGTACCAGCACTTGGGCAGCAGAGGCAGGCAGATCTATGTGAGCTTGAGGCCAGCCTGGTTTCCATAGTGAATCCAGGCCAGCTGTGGCTGCAGGGAGACCCTGTCTCAAAAAGACCAAAAAAAAAAAAAAAAAAAAAAAAAAAAGAGAAGCCAAGACTTTCCCACAGTTGAAGCATTTGGAAGGCTTCTTCACCACGTGAATTCGATGAAATATGTTCAGTTGGTGTATCTAAACAGCATTTGAGTTCTGGAATTCATAAGGTTTCTGTCCAATGTGAGTCTGTTCATGAGATGTCAACTCTGACTTCTGTGAGAAGGCCTTCCCACACTTGTCACAGACAAAAGGTGTCTCCTTCCTGTGAATCCACTTATGTTTAGAGAAAACTGACCTGCCTCTGAAGGCTTTCCCACAGTGAGTGCACACATAGGGCCTCTCTCCTGTGTGAATTCGTTCATGCTCTTGGAGTTGGACCTTAGTACAAAAGGCTTTCCAACAGTAGCTGCATTTGTAAGGTCTCTCCCCTGTGTGAATCAGAAGATGCACCTTTATTTCAGATGGATAATTAAATGATTTCCCACAGAAATTGCATTTGTGAGGCTTCTCCACCAGGTGAATTTTTTCATGCCTGCCCAGTGTTGACATCTGACTGAAGGCCTTCCTGCACACCGAACACACAAAAGGCCTCTCCCCTGTGTGAATTCGAGAATGTGCCTTTAGCTGAGATGTTTTACTAAAGGATCTCCCACAGTCAGGACATTTGCAAGGCTTCTCTCCCGTGTGGGTTTGATAATGTAACTTCATTTGGGATGGGTAATTAAACAACTTCCCGCAGTCAGGGCATTTGTAAGGCTTCTCACTAATGTGGGTTTGATAGGGTGTCACTGCTGACTCTCGGAAGCCTGTCCCACGTTTCTGAGAGACAAAAGTTCTGTCTCTGGTGTGAATTAACTGATGTTTACGAAAAGATGACCTACCATTAAAAGTCCTCCCACATTCAGTACACACAAAGGGTTTCTCGCCGGTGTGAATGCGCTCATGCACTTGGACTTGCTCCTTAGTAGAAAAGGCTTTTCCACAGTGGCTACATTTGAAAGGCCTCTCCCCAGTGTGAACTCGATAATGTGCCTTCAGTTGGGACATTTTACTGAACAATTTCCAACAGTCTCGGCATTTGTAAGGCTTCTCCCCCGTGTGATTTAGATAATGCACCTTCAGTTCACATGGAAAATTAAACGACTTTCCACACTCTCGGCATTTGTAAGGCTTCTCCCCCGTGTGATTTAGATAATGCACCTTCAGTTCACATGGAAAATTAAACGACTTTCCACACTCTCGGCATTTGTAAGGCTTCTCCCCCGTGTGATTTAGATAATGCACCTTCAGTTCACATGGAAAATTAAACGACTTTCCACACTCTCGGCATTTGTAAGGCTTCTCCCCGGTGTGGCTGTGGTAATGCACCTTCAGCTGGGACGGGTAATTAAATGACTTCCCACAGTCACTGCATCTGTGAGGCTTCTCCCCAGGATGAAGTTTCCCATGCCTGTCCAGTATTGATTTCTGATTGAAGGCCTTCCCGCACTCAGAGCACACGTAAGGTTTCTCTCCTGTGTGAATTCGATGGTGCACCTTGAGTTTGGCTGTTTTACTGAATGATTTCCCACACTCCTGGCATTCATAAGGCTTCTCGCCTGTGTGGATTTGACAGTGCACCTTCAGTTGGGATGGAAACTTGAAAGACTTTTCACACTCACAACATTTGTAAGGCTTTTCTCCAGTGTGGCTTTGTTGATGGGATGTCAACTCTGACTTCTCCAAGAAGGCCTTCCCACATTTATCACAGACAAAAGGCATCTCCTTCCTGTGAAGCAGCTCATGTTCACAGAAAACTGACCTGCTGCCGAAAGCTTTCCCACACTGACTGCACACATAGGGCTTCTCTTCTGTGTGAATTTGCTCATGCTCTTGGAGCGCGGCCTCAGTACGAAAGATTTTCCCACAGCCGCTGCATTTGTAAGGGTTCTCCCCAGCCTGAATTAGCTCTCCCTCCTTCAGGGGAAATGGGTAACGCAGTGACTCCGACATGTGGAGGAAGGCCTTCCCATCCTTGTATGAGACAAACGGGCTCTCCGCAGTTGGAGTGATCCTGGGTTTGTGCGAAGAGGACACGGCATAGAGTACCTTCCCACACTTAGTACCCTGATCTGCTTTCTCCTGAGAATAACCGTCGTGCTGTGTCAGTGGGTACTTATGGCTGAGACCGTCTCCACGCCCAGGCCTTGTGCAGGCTTCCTCTCCTCCATGAGTAATCATAAAGTTGGCCTTACAAGAACCCTGTGTGACGAGCTGACCAGACACCACAATGTAAAGAAGCTGCTTTGTGACACTGCTTTCCTTCTGAGCATTTGCTTCTAGGTTCAGATTCAAACTTGTTGGAAGCGAGTAACATCTTAGAAGTCCCCCTTGTGTGGAGATGAGGTGGGGTGCCAAAACAATGGTTTCCCCAGGCTTCTGACATGCACGGCCACTGTCTGTGCACAGTGTTTTCTTGTCGAGGACAGCACCTGGACTCGAGGGTGGGGTCCGGTTTGGCTGATCTCTCTTTGTAGGGTCAGTATTCTTCCACAGTTCTTGCAGAAGGGAACACCATGAACCATCTCTGGTGACTTCACTTGCTGAATAATCACTTTGAACCAAAGCTTTCTCAGAAAGTTTCTGTGATGGGGAGTCAAGCCCACATGTTTCTGGGAAGAGACGTGAAGGAACAGACACCATGAACAAGATCTAGGAGAATCACAGATCGGTGATTCAGAGTTTCTGGAACTTATATAAATAAAAATAACTACAAGCCTGCATCAAAATTGATCAAAAAGAAGCAAAATAGCCAGGCATGGTGGCGCACGCCTTTAGTCGCAGCACTTGGGAGGCAGAGGCAGGTGGATCTCTGTGAGTTTGAGGCCAGCTGGGGCTACAGGGAGGCCCTGTCTCAAAATGACAGGGGAAAAAAAAAAAAGAAGCAAAATAGCACACCCGTTTTTTCCCCAACTACATGTTGCTTCGTGGTTGAGTTAGTCCACTTAGGTATAATTATCTCCAAGATGAGACCAGCTCTTTGCCACATGATCACTTGCTGCAGTTTTACAAAGGTCCCTAACTGGCTTTGATAACATGTTGGATTGCAACATAAGCTGTAAAAACCCAGGGCAGGAAAAAGCCCAGGTGACCAACACCAGGAAACGAATACGGGAGACAGACTGATCGCGTCCCCAAGAGAACTCTACCCCCACCTGGGCAGCAGTCCCTCACCTTGACACCACCTCTGGCCTGAGAATTCAGCCTCCTCTGTCCGTGCCTCCTTTCCTTCCTCCATCCTAAAGATGACCTCCGGGCTGGGAATGGGATACCCTGTTAATGGAAGGGTACTGGATTTGTGTGGTTTCTTGTCTTTTTGGACCATCTCTTGCCTCTTGTCTCTCGTCTCTTGTGAACTTTGTACTGTCTTGGAGAAAAACCCAAACCCAAAACCTGACATTTTCCACTGGGTACAAAGCAGTATCTGCGCTCACCCACTGACACGAGGTGGCTGTAGATCTCCAGCATCACGTCCTGGTACAGGCGTCTCTGGGCGGGGTCCAGGTGCTGCCACTCCTCCTGGGTGAACTCCACAGTCATGTCCTCAAATGACATCATCCTCTGTAACAACGGCTCATTTGAACTGCTTATCATTGGTATTTCCGGGGAAAACATCATATAGGGTATTTGGTAACAACCCAGTGCGCTAGATAGCTTCAACTGTCCACTTGACACACCTTGGAAGAGGGAACCTCAGCTGGTAAATTAGTTTTTTCAGAGTGGCCTGTAGGCATATCTGTGAGGCATTTTCATAATTGTTGAGTGATGTGGGAGGGCCCAACTCAATGTGGGCAGTGCCACCCTGGGCAGGTGGTCTTGGGTTGTATAAGAGAGCGGGTTGAGCACAGGCCAGAGGAGCGTGCCAGTAAGCAGCTAAAAGGCTTCAAGAAGTCCCTAAAACTGAACAGATACACTAGGCACTTTCCTCCCAAGTGAATATAAGCTGTAAATACTGCTAAGAGACACACTGAGACGCTGAGCTAGTAGACGCTCAGACCAGCTGAGGTGCCTGGAATATATACAAGCCAGCAAGTGCGCTCTCAACAGGAGAATCAAGGACATCTCCAGAACAGGGCTCCTGGCTTTGCCCCTTCCTGTGTTTGCCCTATGTTAGGTCTCCAAGACTCAAAACCCTCTATTTATCAGGAGGTCACAGCTTCCCCATCCCCTAACAAACGTATCCAAGTCCCTAACTGCCTATAAAACCTATTCTGAGTCTCCTGCTAGCTGCTGTTCTCTGCTCCTGAGAGGCAGTTTCTAAATAAATTGCTCTTCCTATCCATTGAGTGGCCCAGTTTGGTTTTCACTGCATGCTTCCATACACCCTTAAGATGTGAAGGACCACGCATGGGGACACCCCTGCTAACCTCATGTGACCCCTCCTGCTCCTCTGCACCCAGTAGGGGAATCTTCCAGCATAAACTCTTATCTACAGCTATGTCCTATCCCACCTTCTATTCTTGGACTTTTTTGCTGGTAAATCCAAATTCCTTGAGAGTCACGGATGCTGTGGAGAGGCTGGCTGCGGCATGATGGGAAACTCTGAAGCTTAAATGATTTGGTGGTCCCACGAGCTCTGAAGAAACTCCAAGACAATAAACCACATGGTCACTCATCTAAAATGGGTCTCCCTGCAGCCCCAGCTGGACTGGAACTCTCTATGTAGACCAGGCTGGCCTTGAACTCACAGAGATCCACCTGCCTCTGCCTCCCAAGTGCTGGGATTAAAGGTGTGCATCACGTCACCCGGCTTTGATGATAAACTTCCAATGTCCCAAGTTGAAGGTCATATGTAGAGACCGTGGAGAACACAAAGGTCACAAAAGCCCTGCTTTTATAAATCAAGGAACGGCTCGGTATGGTGGTGCATGCCTTTAATCCCAGCACTGGGGAGGGAGAGGCAGGTAGATGTGAGTTTGAGGCTAGACTGATCTATATAGCAAGTTCCAGGCCAGCTGGGGCCACAGGGGGACAGAGTATCAAAAAAAATCAAAATAAATAAATTAAATAAAAATAAGGAACAATAACAGCAATGAAAAAAAACTGAGTTTGGACTAAAGTCAGGAGGGAGTGATTACAGCCTTTGTACCTGCTAAGTGGAAGAACAGCAAGATGCTAATTTAGTTGCTTCCAAAATGAGGACACAGGTATCTATTATAGGAATCCAGAATCTCCTGTCAGGGAAGGTTTACCAAGCCCCGAGCACCTGCCTGGCAGGTGGTAAATACAAATAAAAGTAAGCTGCTAATTTAAATTTCATTTTTTTTACGTGCATGAGTGTATTCCCTGCATGTAAGTTCACCTGACTCATGCAATGCCCAAGGAAGTCAGAAGAGGGCGTTGGATCCCCTGGAACTGGAGTTAGATGATTATTAGCTGCCATGTGGGTGCTGGGATTCAAACCTGGGTCTTTTGCAAGAACAGTCAGTGCTCTTAGCTGAGCTGAGCCATCTCTCCAGCCCTAAATACTTATTTTCATGAGCACACTCCTAGAATTCTAATACTCAACAGTCAAAGCAGATTGCCCAAGATCAAAGCCAACTTGAAACCACCTCTCAGGAAAACAAAACGGTGTTTTTTAGCGCTACCTCTGTGCAGGAAATACCACGCTGGGAATGGTCGGAGCCCACGCCTAAGTTTACCCGTGTCCTGGCTTTTGCTTCATCCTCTGTATCAGTTTTAACTCGGAAATGGGAAAAACTGAGAATGCCTATGTTCCCCGTTTTAGCCAAACTGTGAGTAAACTCATCACTACTCTTTTCATTTTCATTTACTTTATGGAGTGTTCTCTTCAAGCGGACCAGGGTGGGACCCCCACCCAGACCTCTCAGCCACGGCCACACCGACACCTGGGTGCAGAAAGCCGTCAGTCCCCGCAAACACCCCCTCCCCGCAACCTGCTGTCCTCACTCCTCCATCCCCACCCACCCTCCAAGTCCCCCACCTGCAGCTCCAGCTCCACCCAGCACGGACTCCCGCAGCACCCACGGGGAGTCCTCCCAGGGTCCCCAGTGCTGTCCTCCGTGCTCGGAGGACCACGTCCACAGGGGACCACGCAGCAGCCCACATCCCATCTCCCTTGCAGTCCTCCCTGCAGCCCGGGTTTCTAACGCAGCAGAATTCCCACGCACGGCATCCTCTCGCTTCCTGCCACTCACCTCACACCCTCCTCAGCATCTCAGAGCACGTCGCACGCCGCGGGCCCTTCAGGACTTCCGCTCACGGATTCCCACAATCCTGGATGCAAATGTTCCAAACCAACCTATGGGCACGACCGTGAAATAACACTTGAGCCACTCTGGATCACTTCCCGTTTCACTTGGATTTCCGTTTGGAGTTCTCCAAGCCGCTTAAACTGGCACTCCGGAAGCTGCAGCGGCCCTGCCAGTAGTCAGCATGGCGTTCCAAGTGCTTCCGGTTCCCTCAGAAACCGGAAGTAGTCTGTGTTACAGGCCACTGTGAAAAAACTTCCATTCAGTACAGCCAGAGAATCACCAGTGTCACATAGTGAAAATCTGGAGGCTGGTCCACATGGTGTAACAGATGCTCTTTTTATTTATTTATTTATTTATTTATTTATTTATTTATTTATTATTATTTGGGGGGGTCTTTTTGAGACAGGGTCTCCCTCTGCCTCTGACTCCCGAGTGCTGGGATTAAAGGTGTGGGCCACCACTCCCGGCTTTAATTATTATTTTTATTTTATGTGTACGAGTGTATTGGCTGCATGTATATGAGTGCACCCGTGTAGTGCAATGCCGGGGTCAGAAGACGGCTTCAGATTCCCCTGGAACTGGAGTTAACGATGGTTTGTAGCCGCCATATGGGTGCTGGGAATCGAACCTGGGTCCTCTGCAAGAGCAGGCAGTGCTCTTAACTGCTGAGCCAGCTCTCCAGCCCCAAGAAGATGCTCTTTTTTAAAAATGTACCTTGCCGGGTGTGGTGGTGCACACCTTTAATCCCTGCACTTGGGAGGCAGAGGCAGGCAAATCTCTATAGCCTGGTCTACAGGGTGAGTTTCAGGCCAGGTGGGGTCAGGGAGAACCAGTCTCAAAAAGACATATACTGGCCGGGCATGGTGGCAGGCGGATCTCTGTGAGTTCAAGGCCAGCCTGGTCCACATAGTGAGTTCCAGGACAGCTGGGGCTACAGGGAGACCCTGTCTAAAAAAAAAAAAAAAAAAAAAAAAAAAGACGTGCATATTATATATTACATATTATATAAGACATATATATATATATATATATCATGTGTGTGTATTTGTGTAGCTTGTGCATGCCATGGTACAGATATGAGGACAACTTGCAGGAGTAGGTTTTCTCCGTGTAGGTCCCGGGGATTGAACTCAGGTCATGAAACAAGAGTCTTTATCTACTAAGCCATATTTTGGGCTTATCTTAAATATACTTTGTATTTTGTTTATGAATATGAGTGTATTGCCTGCATGTATGGAAGTGCACCTGTGTTGTGCAGTGCCCTTGGAGATCAGAAGAGGGTGTCAGATTCCCTGGCACTGGAGTTAGGATGGCTGTTAGCTGCTATGTGAGTGCTGGGAGTCAAACCTGGGTCTTTTGCAAGAGCAAGCAATACTCTTAACCACTGCGCCATCTCTCTAGCCCTTCATCTTAGTATATTTATGATGGAGATCTTCTTTTAGGGTATTTTTGTTGTTGTTTGTTTGTTTTTTGGTCTTGCGACAGGGCTTTCCTGTAGCCCAGGCTGGCCTTGAACTCACAGAGATCCACCTGCCTCTGCCCCCCAAGTGCTGGGACTAAAGGCATGCACCGCCCCACACAGCCTTACATGGGGATTTTCAGTATCTGAACTAAACTCAAAGGAACAGACTCCTAATCGGACCGAGAGGGTAGCCAGTGGTGGGAAAAGCACTAGCCTCACCGGCTCTGTCCGGCTTAATGAAACAGTATTTGAAATACAACCATCGAAATGCGGGGGAGTGACTCTTGATTTTCAAAAGAAACACTCTCACTCTAAGTGATGGTGATATCGAGTTAATTTTCTTTTTAACATTTTATTTTTTTAAGTAGCTTTTTAAAAAATATTTATTTTTATGTTATGTGTATGCATGTATTGCCTGCATGTATGAAAGTGCACACATGTCATGCAGTGCTCACGGAGCTCAGGAGAGGACATCGGATCTCCTGGAACTGGAGTTACCAATGGTTGTTACCTGTCATGTGGGCACTGGGACTCAAACCTGGGTCCTCTGGAAGAGCAGCCAGTGCTCTTAAGTGCTGAGCTAACTCTTCAGCCCCAACTTTCATATCTTTTATATTTTTAATTTTATGTATTTATATGTGAATGTGGGGGGGTATATGGATATGAGTGTAGTTGCATGTGGAGGCCAGAAGATGGATGGTGTCCAGTCCTCTGGAGCTGGAGTAACAAAAGGATGTGAGCTGCTGGACATGGTTCCTGTGAAACCAACATGGGTCCTCTGCAAGAACAGTCAGTGCTCTTAAAAACGCTGGTTGCTCTATCACATGCTCTGTCCTTTGCTTCCTCACCTCTAAAATGATGTTTATGGGGACAGAATGTTTCTTACAATTTGGCTATGAAGAAGAAATGAGCTAACACAAACTGTTTGCAATAGTAGCCCTTCCCTAGGGAAACAATCCTTAGCCTGACTTTGAGGCCTTCAAGGCTACTCATTTCTCAGATCTCAAAGACAGACCATTTCACAAAGGTCACAGGACTAGAAACCAGGTTTCTGCCTTGGCTCCATCAATATGCTCTTACCCTCCAGATTCCTTCATCTGTGATTCAACAGGCATCAAGGACTGAATGGGTAGTCCCAAGGTTTACCACTGACAGGATAAAGGAAATGAATCAGTGACTGAGAGGGGTTTGAGGACATTAGACAGAGGGGCTTTGAGAGAGGTAGAACAAAGGGAAGTGAAACAATTATGCATAATAGGTCCTAAAGAGGGTGAGAGGACAGCAGTGGGGTCACCAGGAAGGGACAGCCTGCTAGAAGAGGAAGCATCTACAGCCGAGGGATTATGAAGGCCACATGAGGATGGAAGAACTGTTAGACCTAAGGCCCACATGGACACCCAGGTGATGGTTATGGACAGGGACAGCAAGAGTCATAGAGGGAGATACACCCTGTACAGTTAGGAAGTGGCCTGTCTTTCCACTATGGTCTCAAGATTTAATGATTCCTGTCCCCAGAGTTCTGTTTTCCTTGAAACTGCATGGGGCACCAACCTAGCCACAGGGGAATACTATGTTGCTCATACCAGAGACCATTCTTCTTTTTTTTTTTGTCTTTTTTGAGACAGGTTCTCCTCGTACCCCAGCTGTCCTATGTAGACCAGGCTGGCCTCGAACTCACAGAGATCCGCCTGCCTCTGCCTCCCGAGTGCTGCGACTACAGGTGGGTACCACCATGCCCGGCTCAGAGACCATTCTTAGTAAGAGAGAAAGAGAGAGAGGCAGAGAGATAGATTTCCAATCAACAAATGAATGAGGCCAGGCCTTGAGCTACAGGAGCCTCTGGGAAACTGGTTTTTCCACTATGGCCTAGAGTTAGGGCTTATCAGTGGCATTAGTCCCCGGTCAAGGAGACCAGTGAGGCAAACAGCTCAGATGGGCATCTTGAGCTCAGCACAGGCCCTGCATGTGGATTCATCCTCTGGTCTGTGTCAGCTGTTGACTGCTGTGTAGCCCCTGGGATAGAGACCGTTGGTTCCACTTACCCAATCCTCCCCCATCAGGGAAGGACTACCAACCTACTTATAGGTAGAAAACAGGGTGGGAATGTAAAATCCCTCGCTCAGTGGATGCAGAGAGTGGAATCAGGGATCAGACATCGAAACCTGGCTCTTGGCTCATCTGAAAGCCTGTGTTGTTCTGAGTCCTGAAAGTAGGCATGACTTAGAGCAAGCCAGGCGTGGGGACCCAAGCCTTTAAGCCCAGCACTTGGGAGGCAGAGGCAGGTAGATCTCTGTCAGTTTGAGACCAGCCAGGGCTATAGTGAGACCCTGTCTCAACAACAAAAAGAACAAGCAAAAATGGACAAAGAATGGATCAAAACAGTGAGAATGGATGAATAAATTACGGCATGTGAATCCTACTGAAGGCACATCAAGGGCTGCACGTCTCCCAGCGGCCAGGCAGTGCTTTATTTGTGGTATAAGGTCCATATGGTGTGTGCTGGATGCTTTAGTGTCAACTTGACACACCTGGGTTGAGGGAGCCTCAATTGGGGAATTGTCTCTATTGGACTGGCCTGTGGCCATGTCTGAGGGCCATCTTCTTGATGAGTGATGTGGGAGGGCCCAGCCCACTGTGGGTGGTGCCACCCATGGGCAGGTGGGCCTGTGTTGTATAAAAAATGCAGGCTGAGCAGGGGCCAGGGGGACAAGCCAATAGTAAGCAGCATTCCTCTATGACCTGTGCTCCAGCTCCTGCCTCCAGGTTCCTGCCCTGAGTTCCTACCTTGGGCTCCCAGATGAACTGTGACCTGGGAGATGTAAGCTAAATAAACCCTTTCCTCCCCAAGTTGGTAGTGGTCAGAGTGTTTTGTCACAACAGTGGAGAAACAAACTAAGAGATGGTGTCTGCCATAAGCAGTTAATTCCACTAGTAGAGTACGGCAGCATCACTGGACAGCACATGCACAAACGGACCTGGCTGTGTTAAAAAACAAACAAGGAATTAAAACCCAAAACCAAATTAAACAACTAACTGGCCCCAATTTTGTTACTGCTGGTGTGTGTGACCAGAAGCCTGCACAACATGAGCAAGCCCAGACTCAATGACTGCCTCAGAGTGGATGTGGCGAAGCTCACCACAGAGACACAGGTGGAGAGGAGAAGGAACGTAGATCTGAGCTAAATGACAAAGAAAAAGCACAACATGAAGACCAGCAGTCGTTACAGAATCACATTTATGCATAGACCCAAAGGACAGACATTCCCATAATGACATTTTCAAGTATTGCTGGAACAGGATCATAGAGATTTCAATTAGGAAAATAATCTGATAAACAAACTACATCACTTAAAGAAATAACTACATCTACATACTCATATTACACAGCAAACTCTGTTGTATACCCTACTGTACCACGTAAATACATATATATATGCATACACGTGTGTATATATATGTAAATGCTGATGAGACCATCTGTGTATATATATATATATATACATACATACATACCATACAAATAAATCTAAATGTGTAAACAGTAAGTATACATACATTACACAAACATATCCATACATAATACTATCTTATACTTTACTGGCATTTGAGAAACATTGGTATTCCACAATAAACAGGAAAACTATGGACACAACTTTTTTTTATATTTTAGTTATTATTTTTATTTTATGTGTATGAGTGTATTGCCTGCATGTATGTGAGTTCACCCATGTTGTGCAATACTGCGGAGGTCAGAAGAGGGCTTTGGAGTCCCCTGGAACTGGAGTTAAGGATGGTTCGTAGCTACCATGTGGGTGCTGGGAATCGAACCCGGGTCCTCTGCAAGAGCAGTCAGTGCTCTTAACTGCTGAGCCATCTCTCCAGCCCCATGGACACAATTCAAAAAAAAAAAGTTCCTTAGAAATACACCAGCAACACTTTGTATTATATATTTTTTCACAACATTTTTTTCTCCTCAAATTAGGGTTTCATTTTGAAATTAAATCACATTTTCTTTCAAATGCTATTACAAATATGTACATGTGTGCTTATTCCAAGTTATTGTGCAAGTAATTTCTAATGCCTAATAATATGTGTTAAAGGAACAGAGAACTATATATATATTCTCCATCATGAACTCTGTTATGTGCAATTAGTTGTCTTATAAAATGTTCTTTTTCTTTTTTTTTTTCCTTTGGTCTTTTTGAGACAGTGTCTCCCTGTAGCCCCAGCTGACCTGAACTTGCTATGTAGAGCAGTCTGACCTTGAACTCACAGAGAGCCACCTGCCTCTGCCTCCTGAGTGCTGGGATCAAAGGATGGGATCAAAGGCATGCATCACCACACCTGGTAAAATGTTCTCTTTTTCAATGAACTCCTGGAGTATATTTTATTTGGGAATCTGCTGATGACCTGGAAACTGATTTCTTTGTAAGAACTGCTGTCAAACATCTTCCCTTGTTCCGATGACATAAGATGGCTCCTTGTGTGAATGCTATGACATGCCTAAAGTAAGGGTGTATGACAGTGATGTCTCACTCGTGGCATTCATAAGGCTTTTCTCCAGTGAGTTCCCTGATGGGATGTCAACTCTGACTACTGGAGGAGTGTTTTCACACATAGTCAAGTTTCCCTACTGTGAATTACCTTCTTTCTCTGTGAAACCCAACCTGTCATGGAAGGCCTTCCCACATTCAGTGTACACACAGGATTCCTCTACTGAGAGAATTCGCTCATGCCTTGGAGTTAGGACTTAGAGGCGACGGCTCTCCCACAGTCCCTATACTTGTAAGGCTTCTCTCGTGTGAACTCTTTGGTGTGTGTGGAGCAGTGACTCCTCCTTGAAGGCATTTCCACATTCACGACATACATGGTGTTTTTCTTCAGTATGAACTTTCAGGTGTATATTGAGGTGCGCCTTTTGGGTAAATGCTTTTCCACAGTACCTACATTCGTAAGGTTTCTCACCTGTGTGAATCCGATGATGCACCTTCAGATGGGATGTTGTACTAAACAATTTTCCACATTCTTGGCATTCATGAGGCTTCTCTCCAGTGTGAGTCCGCTGATGGGCTGTCAAGTTTGACTTCTTGAGAAACGCCTTCCCACAATGGTCACAAACAAAAGGCCTTGCATCACTGTGACTCAACATATGCACATAGAAACGAGTGTTGCTACTGAAGGCCTTCCCACAATGGTGACAGACAAAAGGGCGTGCCCCAGGGTGAGTCATCCTATGACGATACAATCCTGATGTTCTATGGAAGGCCTTCCCACATTCAGTGCACACGTAGGGTTTCTCTCCTGTGTGAATTTGTTCATGCTCTTGGAGTCCGGACTTAGAGGAGAAGGCTTTCCCACAGTCATTACATTTGTAAAGCTTCTCCCCCGTGTGAACTCTTTGGTGTGTGTGGAGCAGTGACTCGTCCTTGAAGGCTCTCCCACACTCTCGGCACACATGATGCTTTCCTCCAGTATGGACTTTCAGATGTATATAGAGGTGTGCCTTTGTGGAGAAGGCTTTTCCACAGTCACTACATTCATAAGGCTTCTCACCTGTGTGAATCCGATGATGCACATTCAGGCTGGATGTTGTACTGAAAAATTTCCCACAGTCTTGGCACTCATAAGGCTTCTCTCCACTGTGAGTTCGCTGATGGGCTGTCAAGTTTGACTTCTGGAGGAAGGCCTTTCCACATTCGTCACAGACAAATGGCTTTGCCCCACTGTGACTCATTATAAGCACACAGAAACCTGTCCTTGTACTGAAGGCCTTCCCACATTCAGTGCACACAAAAGGTTTCTCACCTGTGTGAATTCGTTCATGTTCTAGGAGGGAGAACTTAGAGGCGAAGGCTTTCCCACAGTCACTGCATTTGTAAGGCTTCTCTCGGGTGTGAATTCTTTGCTGCTTACTGAGCTCTGACTCCTCCAAGAATGATCTCCCACTCTCAGGATATATACATGTCTCTCTCCATGATGTTTTTCTTCAGTATGAACCTTTAGGTGTTTACTGAGGTGTACCTTTTGTGTGAAGGCTTTTCCACAGTCTTGACATTCAAAAGGCTTCTCATCTGTGTGAACCTGACGATGGATCCTGAGTTTGGACGGAGTACAGAACAATTTCCCACAGTCTTGACATTCATAAGGCTTCTCACCTGTGTGAATTTGACGATGGATCTTCAGTTCGGACAGAGTACGGAACAACTTTCCACAGTCTTGACATTCATAAGGCTTCTCACCTGTGTGAATTCGGTGATGGATCTTCAGTTCAGTAGGAGTACGGAGCAACTTCCCACAGTCTTCACATTCATAAGACCTCTCACTGGTGTGAATTCGAAGATGCATATTCATCGTAGATGTTTTATGGAACAACTTCCCACAGTCTGGACATTCATAAGGCCTCTCGCCCGTGTGAATTCGAAGATGGACCTTCAGTTCGGATGGAGCACGGAACAATTTACCACAATCTTGGCATTTATAAGGCTTCTCTCCAATGTGAGTTTGCCGATGGGTTATCAGTGCTGACTTCTGCAGGAAAGCCTTTCCACATTTTCGACAGACAAAACATCTTTCCGGAGTATGAGTTATTTTATGATTATGGAAAGTTGACCTACGATGGAAGGCCTTCCCACATTCAGTGCACACATAGAGCTTCTCTCCTGTATGAATTCGCTTGTGCTCCTGGAGTTGAAGCTTAGAGGCAAAAGCTTTCCCACAGTCAGTACATTTGTAAGGCTTCTCCCATGTGTGAATTCTCTGGTGTGTCCTGAGTACCGACTTCTGCAGGAAAGCCTTGCCACATTCAGAACACACATAAGGTCCCTCCCCCAGATGAATTTGAAGATGCACATTCAACTGGGATGGATGGCTGAACAAAGTCCCACAGTCCTGGTATTCATAAGGCTTCTCTCCACAGTGAGTTTGCTGGTGGGATGTCAATTCTGACACCTGGAGGAAGGCCCTACCACATTTGTGACAGACAAAGGGCTTCTCTATAGTGTGGCTTATGTTGTGTTGAATGAAAGCCATCCTGTAATTCAAGACTTTTCCAGAATCAGTATTTTCATCTGGATCCTCCTGAGAATGAATTTTATTCTGCCTAAGTGGTTGCTCATGACTAAGAACTTTTCTGCACTGACTGTGTTTGTGTGATTTTTCTCTATGAGTAATCACAGAGTTAGCATTAGAAGAACCACTTATAAAGAGTTGACCAGGAGTAACATGGCCATGAAGCTGTTTTCTGACACTGCTTTGATTCCGACCATCTGCTTCTAGGTGAGGGTTTAAAGTTCCTGCTAATGATTCAGAGTTCGGAGGTCTGTTCTGTGTGGAAATGCGGTGAGGCCCCACAGGAACACGTTCCTCGGCCTCTTCACATTCACAATTCCTGTCTGTGCTCTGAGTTCTCTTGTTGATGAAATCACCGGGTCTCAGAGGTGGGATCTGGTTTTGCTGATCTCTCTCTGTAGGGCCAGCATCCTGCCACAGTCCCCAAATGGAACACAATGAACCACCTCTTGTGACTTCACTCGTCAAATCATCTTGCAGTGAAGATTTCTCAGGAACGTCCGGGTGTGGAGGATCAAGCCTCATATTACTTTCTGCTCAGAGAAGAGAAAGGAACAAGGACAATGAACGAGATGGAGAACGAGTCTCAGGCAGCTGATTGGACTGAACAGCACTAGCGATGCTGATGATGGTGTCACTGAGTAGAAACAGTCCCTTATGATGCTCCAAACACTCACCTGTATAACGCGCAACACTTGAAAGGCAACTTTCTATGCAGGGGACGCAAAAGCTTCACTCTAACAATCACCCAATAAGGCAACTAAGATGTGGACATGCCCACTGGGCGCAGTGGTACACCCCTTTAATCTCAGCACTCACCTGGGAGGCAGAGGTAGGTGGATCTCTGGGAGTTCGAGGTCAGCCTGGTCTACATAGCAAGTTCCAGGACGGCTGGGGCTACAGGGAGACCCTGTCTCAAAAAGACAAAAAGGGGGCCGGGCGTGGTGGCGCACGCCTTTAATCCCAGCACTCAGGAGGCAGAGGCAGGCGGATCTGTGTGAGTTCAAAGCCAGCCTGGTCTACATAGTGAGTTCCAGGACAGCTGGGGCTACAGGGAGACCCTGTCTCAAAAAGACCAAAAAAAAAAAAAAAAAAGACAAAAAGACAAAAAAAAAAGATGTGGAAATGTTGATAAAAAAAGATGAAATGTTGACATCTGTAGCCAAATCATTTTGCTAATTTGTGAAATAGGTGAGGGTTTGAGGGGTTTTGGCAACCAAGTCGACTTGGTTAGCTAACCTAGATACCCAGACATGTAGTAGAGACAGGCAACAGAGGTACTAGGCAATGTCAGTGGATTGGCCAGGCTCTAAGCACAGGAGAGAACACAGTACATTAGCTGTGGAAAGACACTTTTTGTTGCCTCTTTGTCCCCACTACAGTAACTGACAGAAGCCAGCGGCTTGGCCAGGTAGACCAACATGAAACCACCAGCTATAAACCCAGTCCTGTTTTTTCATTGTTAAAAGTATTAACACAGATATATAGCATTCACCTGATTCTCTCTTGCTCTCTCTCTTTTTTTTTTTTTTTTTTTTTTTTTGGCGGGGAGCATTTTTGAGACAGGGTCTCCCTGTAGCCCCAGCTGGCCTGGCACTCGATATGTAGACCAGGCTGGCCTCGAACTCACAGAGATCTACCTGCCTCTGCCTCCCGAGTGCTGGGATTAAAGGCATGGGCCACCACACCTGGACACTTTATTCTCTTGAACTTATACTATGTATAGACATAGATTTGGAACATTTGAACTTTTCATAATATAGAACAGAAAAATCTACCTGGTATGAAGGTCTTTGTCAAGTGTCTGATGTAAACATTCTGAAGTGTGGTGAAAAGTCTCTCTAACATGCTCTAATATATTATCATTTATATGCTATCGAAAGTGACACAGGAAATACAGTGCAAGCAAAGAGGCTAGCGTAATTCCACTTGTAATCCTGGAGTTAGGGGTACCTAATGAAG